CGGGAAGCGGATGATTGAGCGACCATTAGTGATCATTACACCAGGGGTTGGCAGCTGGACTCCATCCAGGAGGACACAACAATGGTCGCGAGTCCTTTGTTGGCTGCCACCAAAAATTATTATTTGTGTGTGCGCTGCTCCGTTGTCCTTTTGTTCGTGTGTCTGCGGTTTGTCTAACAAGGCACGAGGCACAGGGCACAAGGCACAGGACACAAGGCACAGGACCATATTGTTTTCAAAAAACAATAACAGCTGGCGCAGGAAAAGGACAGAGGAGCTGAGTTCGCAGGACAACGAGCGCCGTTCGGAGTCGACAACAATTAAATTAAATAAACTCGCTTCAAATGTTATGTAAATGCAGTGCTCGACTCGCTAATTGAGCCGTCGTTGCTCTCATTATCCTTCGTCCTGCGTTTGCCTTTTATACTCTGAAAAATAAAAGTTATCGGGCTTTCAATTGCAATAAGCTGCATATTCATTTTCAATAACAAGTTGTTTTTATGCAGGCAAGGTTTCGTATTTCTCTTATAATTGCTTTCAATAAAGAAAAGAGTTGTTATTCTTTTTTTTACCAAGTAGTTATAATAAGAACGAAATTTGTATTGAGCTTGGAGTTTTTTATAATATATAATATAATATAAAATAACTGAAGCAAAAGTAAATTTAAGTCTTTAAGAATCTATCTATCTGATTTTTTCTTTATAATAAAAATATCAAAGCAAAGGAAAAACCTTTCTAAAAATATTATTACCAAATACATAAGGAGATTAGGTATACCTTAAAATGAAAATAAATAAAAATTTAAATAAAATGTATTTAATTGTCAATTTAAGCTAATGTAAATACTTTAAGATATTAATAAATTGGATATTTATTTACAAAAATATTTCTCAGACTTAACATTATTTAATTCACAATTTTTTTATTAGAATAAGATAACTATATTTATAAAAAAAGAAGAGTATTCAGTGCCTTCGTCTGTTTTGTTTGCAGCTGTTAACGAGACCGAGTGAAAGGAGCAACTGCTACCTTATCCTGGTCTCATCCTTTTCGACATTCTCGGCTGTCGTGGGTGGCTATTAATGATGGATGAACTTAATTTTTATTGCGCGACCTTGAATGAAGCCGAAAGCATCGAGCGACCCAAGTTATTAACCGGGAAATATCAATCAGCATTTTACACTAGACTGCCGGCGGATGTGTCAGAAAAAGGACGAAGGACGGGGCTTCGGTTTTCCTTTATCCTTGTCGAGCCATTAAAACAAAACATTTTAATTAATTGAGGCGGAAAATGCTGTAGCTGCTGGTGGGTTTCTGTTGGGTTTTCTGGTGATTGCCAGTTGCATGTTGTCAACTCCTCGGCCTCCAAAAAAAGGAAAGTCAGAGGGACGGCGGGCTTGGCAACCCGGTTTTTGGGTTATTTAGGCATTTTACACAAAGTTGGCTTCTTGATGACGGAGACGAAAAAGGATTGCGGAGAGGTCCCTGATTTGCCTCACTTTGTACACTTAATGACTCAATGATGTGCGGCAGGTTCATTGAAATAAGTGCCCCAGTAAGTGCCATAGGCCACACATATTGTAATGAATATCCCTCCTCGAATTTTTTGCCCGCGGTTAGCGCCGTTAAATATTGAAAAGCCGAGTTATTAAGTGGATATTCAACCGGAAGTTGAGCTGGATAAGTCCGATAAGCGCATGTAATTACAGGAGATATTGCGTTTAAGATAAACCAATCCGTGATTCCACATAAATCTCTTCCAATAAAATTCGGCCTTTATTCGGACCGTAGCTTATATTGAATAATTAAAAGTAATAATCATAGGCTAAAAGTATTTCTGTTCTAATTTAAATTAAATCTTCTTAAAATTAAAAGAAATTATTTTTATATCGGATTTTAGTTAACCATTTCTGTACTGAAAAGAGTGAGATTTAGATGTGAAAGCTAATTATAATTGGTATAAATAAAAAAAGTGAAATAAATTTTAAATTGTTTTGAAAAGGGTATAAAAGGAATAGAATATGTCGAATATAAAAAAGAGAGAAGCCTGAATAATTAATAGTAAAATTAATCCAGAAGCCGTCTTAAATGAATTGACAGAAGAGCTTAGCCTGCCATTAAATTAATTGGAAACTTCAAATACCTAATGAACTCGACCAGAGCTCTCAAGACACTATCCTTTGTGCAACGCAAGGAAGTAGTCCCATGTTTTTGTCAGGCTAAAAACATTGTCAGTCATCGTTAGCTCTAATTTCTAGTTGGCCCACATGAATCTCCGCCGTACATTGCTGGCCATTACACTGCAACAGTTCGGCAGTGCGTCGCTCATTTCTGGCCAGCTGTGTTCGAGTCCCGGGCAAACCAAACCGAATCCTTCGACAAGCCCCAGACCGAAACCGAGACCCAGATCCAGACCAAGATAATGCAGAGTCCAACACAAAAAGCATCAATTTGCATGCAGCCTGACCACCAGCAACCAGCAACCGACAGTCGACAGTCGCCAATGGCCAGCGCTTTTGCATCCACACTGAGAGAAATCAAATGGAATTAATTTCGATGGGTGCCAATTTCAAAAATGAAAAAACTCTTGCTTGCCTTTTCTAGCTTTAATTGTAGACCTTCGGAATTGCATATTAAAATGTGAAAAACTAGTTTTGATTAAATTATCAATGTTTTTGGTTAAAATATATAAGCAAATAAAATAAGTAAAAAAAATTTCAAAATTCAATACATGTTCTGTGAAAATTGTTTAATCCAACTTTTCATTCAATACGTTATAAATTGATCAATATAGTGACGTAATTTGTTATTGAGAGAGTATTTAAAAGTTATTATCTCCAACTATTGATGTTGTATTAATAATAGAACAGGACCTAAGCAAAATGCAAACATATACTATATAATTTCAATTTACTAAAGTATAAAATATTATACAAAATAAAAAAATAAAAATAAAATTAAAATATGTGAAATTACCTATTTTATTATGATTATTGTGAATGAGTGCGTGATTTCGCGCAGTGATTGACCACATCTATGTGTGGTCATCTCAGTGCCCCCTCGACAGCACTTTGTTGGTGGCGGTGCTTCATCACAATTCATTCAGCTTGAATCTGAGTCCGTATCCGAATCCGAATCCGAACCCAAATCCGTGGATGAGTCCGTATCCGGGTGCGAGAATGGCGCTCTCTTTCATTAACCTTTCTGGCATCCAACATAATTCAATTTGGCATCAAGTCGAGCATTCCGCATCCGCAGCAGTTCGTATATCCAGCAGCCACCTCCCGGCATCCAGCATCCAGCATCCAGCTCATTTGCATTAATGCCATGCACGTGTGCGATGCAGGACCAAGGACCAAGGACCAAGGACCAAGGACGAGGAACGCAGCACGCAGGACCCTCGACTGCAGAATGCAGACTGCAATCTGCACATGGCGCACTGCCTCGAATTTTCATAAATAAATTGATTTGCTCCAGCTGGCGTAATTGTGGCTAACTGCGGTTAGCATTAATGACTGTCAATTGCCACTTACCTTATTAGCTCAAATAGACGCGTAAACTATAGTCAGCACATGGCTCAAAACTGTCGGTTTAATTTGAATGCCCGCAAGCAAGTTACCGTTGAATTTCGAAGGAATAATTCTAAATTATTTTATATTTTTTCAGACCCTTTAAATGAGTATTAACATGTTTCGGTATATTTAGATCGTACAATTCGTGGAAGAAAGTTTTCAAATTACCTTTGTCCATAAGTTCCAACTGCTCACACTCTCGCAATAAATATTACACATACGCAGCGTTGAACGGCTGATAAAAAAAGTTGGTAGAGTCAGAGTTAAGGTGGAAATTGCATTTTAATCAATCTAATATTTTCTTTTACTAATAATGTAATACAATGTAAATTTCTCATCAGCAGAGTTAAACGATATATTATTGTTTATTAGTAATAACTTATCAGAACTAGCTTTTAAAAATGGAAGCTGCAGAATTGGGATTGGCTAATGATAAAGCTTGGGAACCTTTTTTTGCCGCTCAACTTGCAGTAAATATTTTATTGGAATTTGATGTTAGGCAATCTTTTCGATTTTTTATATTGGATCAGTGGCATTAATTATGGCACTTTAACAATAGAAAATAGAGCTATCGAATTGGAAATAGAGCTATATAAAAATAATAGTTTAATAAAATTCAAAGTTGTAGAAAGATGGCTATTTTGAGGGTTTAAGAGGTCCAAGGAAGCTGCACTGCAAAAGATAAAAATTGAGGGAAATTCAAATTTGCCACCAATAGTTAGAGTTTTTGACAAATTACGACTAAAAGAGCCTTTTTATTTCGAATCTCGGATCAACAGCGTTAAGCAGCTTTCAATGCAAATTTACAAATTTATAAGATAGTTTTAAAAATGCATAATAATTTAATGAAATCAAAAGTTGTCGGAAGCCAGACAATGCTAAAGGTAAAGATAAATGTACAACTTGAGGGAAATTCCTATTCGCAATCGGCAGTAATAGTTTTTGACAAATTCCGACTGGAGGACCCCACTTCAATCCCCGCTGCACGTTATGGTTGCAGTGCATATCACGTATCCGCAGCGTTGGCCGGCTGGCATTGAAACTGCATCCTGCATTCGCCAAAAAGGACTTAACTCGCACACGGCGGCGGCACACGGTGCGCATGCCAGGGAAATTTTAACAGCGGGGAAATTCTTGTGCCGCAGCAAAGCGCCTAACAGTGGGCAGAATGAACAGTGGGCCAGTGGCGTTCACAGCCAAGGAATTCAGGCAGCGAACAGCAGCATCCTTGGCAGGATGCGAGGATGGCCCCAAACAGTATGAAACAGGACTCAGCGCTGACGGCACGTGTTTCGCTTTGAGAGAGAGTTCCCAAATAACCAGAAAGCAGCACAAAAACGCGCTAAAGTCGCCAGTTGTCGTCGTCGTTGTCGTTGTCGTTGTCAGTTGTTGTCGTTGTCGTTGCCGTCGTCGTCGGTTGTTGTCGTGTTGTTTTTTTTGTTGTTGTTGTTCTGCCGCCGTCGCCGCCGCTGCCGCTGCCGCCGTCCCGCCCCCTCTGCCGCCCCGCCCCCTTTTCGTCTGTCTGTCTGCGTGAGCGTGTGTTGGTGTGTTGTGTCTGTGTCGCGCATGTGACCGCCTCAGCTGTAGGTTTAACTTTACTTTCCCTGTGTTCTTTTTGTTTTATAATTATTTATTTTACATACGTTTTTATTGCCCTTCCTGTGCCAAGAAATCAGAAAATGTAAACAAAAAATAAAAAATGTAGCCCAGCTAGCCACAACAAACAAAACAGCTGGGCAAACAAGTTGCAGGCTTTTATTTTTGTATTTTTTGGCTCTGTGGGGTTAACAAATTTTTAGTTGCAACTTTGTCGCGTTGGCGGAAAAAGCAGCGCCCGAAACGCGTGCAAAGCGCGCACAAAACGCTTACATAAGTTGGCCATTTGTAATCGCCACTGTGTGTGTGCGAGTGTGTGTTGTTCTTTTAAGGCTAGACAATTACCTAACCCAATGCTTAATGCAACTAACTGAAATTTCCGAAATTTTATATTTCGAAAATGAAACAAAAACGCGTGCTCAATGTTGTTTCGCTTGGTGCGCACGTCTTGGCAACGAAAAAAAAAACAAGGAAAATAGATTGGAAATAAGAAAATGGGGTGGGAAAAACAAAAAGCAAAAAAAAAATAAAGGGGGCAAAGAAAACCGAAATTGTTACACGGTCATTGCGGAGGTCGCGCCAAACTAAAAGAGAGATTTTATTTGCGAGCTGCCAAGGCAACAACAGCCAATGGGAATTAGAAATCAATTGACATGCAATGTTTCGTAATATTAAATTGAAAAGGGGAATCCCCGTCAAATTTACAACTTGTTGATTGCCAACAAATAGTATTTATTATTATCCAAATTGTGACAATACGAGATTGGGTCTTGCACAGAGGCCTACAAATTGGCAGATAAACTTTTATCAAATATTAAAGAATAGATTGGCCTAGGAATAAAGTTTATAAAGCATTTAGTGCTTAATTTTAAATGGTTGTAAAAATGATGAACAATATTATAAGATAATTTTCGAAGAGATTGGTCGAATATTATATGTTGAATATTGGGACTTACTCAGATGTGTTTTTTCTTTAACCAGTTCTTTGCGTTTAAACAAACTTTTACTAAAATAACTAAAAAAATCATTTTTTTTTGCACTTTCGGTTACGGAAAAATAAGACAAATAACAATTGATGCCATATTTGCATTTTTGAATAAATTCTAAGTGTTTTAATAACTTAAACAGCATTTTATTTTATTTTATTATTTTTGAATACAATTTTAGTTCGTTTTTTTTTTAATTAATGCAATAGTTGAAAGTACTGTATCTGAAACGAAATTTTAAAACGAAGAATATAAGTGATTGAAAACAACATAATAAAGGGATAAACCAAAAGTGGTTACCAGTACTCAACAACACAACTAATTAAAACTAGGAAACCATTTTAGACAGTGAAAAGGATGTAAATTGAATTTATTTATTGGTTAGGAAGAACAACACAATTACTATAAAACAGTTAAAGGGTGATTGAAAATTTATACGTTTTTCGAGTTTTTCTTATACTTAATTTATATATATTTCCTTCTTAAGTTTAGCTGAGCGAGACCAACCCACATTTTTTTACTCTTTTTTTAATGTTCAAAACTAAACAATATACAACAAAAAAACAAGGCCGAAACTTCAAAACAAATATTGGAAAATTGCGAATGAAAAAAGGTGTGCTCGTGGGCCGAAGGAACCGAATGCAAATTGAAAACTAAAGTTCGAGGAAACCAGAAACCAAAACAAGGGCCGAACCCGTGTCCGTGTGAGGACCACGTGGGTCTGTGTGTGTGTGTGTGGGTGCGGGGACACCACTACAGCAGCAGGCGAAATACTTTTTGTGCCAAGGTAAGATTAGCATTAGGACCAAAGTTAATGTTTTGTTTCTTGGGCTAGGCAAATATGTGCCTTGGAATCGAGGGAACGGAATGTGGGTTAAGCCGAGTTGTAAACGGGGAAAACATGGGTTGGCTTTAAAAAAAAATTAAATAAAAATAACAAAATAATGTGTTCTTTTTAAAGAGGTCAGCAACCGCCTGCTTAAGATTATCTATACAGCGGCGGACCGAAACTATAAATAAAAAAAAACTGATAATCTATATGCATTAACCTGTGCTTTTGATTTATTTAATTGCTATATTAAATTATATATAAAAGGCATACGGTTAAAATCACTTTTTATCGGGCCAGAAAAAGTTATTATATTATTTTTAATTAATCACGCCGTTAAATCAATGAATTAAATTATCTATGTTGGAAATTAATGCTGCCTAACAATGTTCACAATCATTTTGGATATTAAGGAAACTAAAGATGCCTTACAATACTATAATAATATTATAACAGATTATAGAAACCAGAATTTTAGTACTTTTATTAAGTTTAATTTTTTAGGTATATAACAAAATTGCCAATATAAACTTCAAACCGTTTTATTCTTAATTTAGGTATAAGTGTAAATTATTTATGTATTGTCAATTTTCATGTTAATTAATTCATATATCAATAAGGAATTTGTTGATCAATATTAATTTATCTAACTCACTCCAAAAACATATATTTACAATACTTTTAAATTTGTCATTTGAAATTCAATGTATTTGAGGAGTGATATTTGTGAAATATTCCATTTAACCTCAGCTTAAAACTTTATAAACTTATTATTTGATACATTTGTATGAAATAAGTATAGTGAAGTAACATAATTTCTTCCTTAAATGTTGATGCGTACAAGCAAATTGTTGATTGAAAAGCTTATTTCTTCGTGTATCTTACAAAGACAATGACCACGCCCATACTTTAATATTAAATCAGTAAGAAATACTTAAATGCTGTTTTTATTTGTGAGGGGGGGGCTGCTTTCTAGAATCGCCCCAATGCGTATGCAATAGAAAATGTTTAAAATGTTTGCCAAACAATTTTGAGCGATTATGAAAAGTGTGTGTGTTTATACAAGGGGAAAATGAGTGTTGGTGTATGCGTGTTTTAGCGCTTGTGTGTGACTTGAATGGCTCCAGCGGGAGTGGAAATGCCATTGTTGCTGCCAACGCTTGTTATTATTGTTGTGCACTGAAAAAATGTACGATTGTCATTGGTTTGATAAAAGAAATATAAATTGTAAGATATTGTCCTTTTTAGAAATATAAATTACCTCATTTTAGCACTAATTGAAAACAAAAACTATTTTAAATGCTGCAGTAACTGGTATAAGTATCTACTCTAAATTAAAAATAGTTATTGTAACTTTAGATAAATCTATTATTAAAATAAAAATACAATTGCTTCGAAACTGTATATTAGGTTTTGAAACATATTTAAAATTGTTTTTCCTTGTGTTGCTGTGGCAACAAAACCAAACGCGCCTCTATTTATTCATTTTGGCCCGTTTGTAGCCATTGTTTCGTTCTCCACTCGCCACTCTTTACCCTGAAAACAACATTCTACGTTCTCCACTCTACACTCTCCACTCCGGCCATCTTCAATCTGCATTCGGGGCTTTTAATTAAATGCAACAACAAAACGATGGCAATGCCAACAGAATCAAACAAAAGCCATTCGCACACTAAAACATGGCGCCGTGGGAAAATCGTGGAAAATCCGAGGGGGAAAATGCGGGGGAAATCGGGGTGGTTGGGAAAAGTCAAGGGCCAAATGGAAGCCCCCGAATTGTGACCAGGCAACAACAAATAGCGATTTATGCATGGAAATTAAACGAACTGATTAAATGTTGAATTAGAGCCCAAACGCCAAAATCCTCCGCCACTTTTCGCACCCTTTATTTGACATGAAAACTAAATTGATGTTTATTATTCGTTTGGCAAGTAATTAAGCCAAGTTTACTTAAGTGAGTGGGTGAGTGTTTTGGTTGAGTGTTTGGTAACTACTAAATAAAAGTCCAAAGATTTTCTCTATTAAACTACAATTGCATGAATTTACCGAAATTCATCATTAAATGAAGAGGACTTAAACAAATTAGATAAATTAATAAGTGTTTTATATATTAGTAAAATTATGCAAGAAATTAATTTTTTAGACGGCAAATATGATTTATTAATATATAAAAAGAAAAACAAACAAATAAAATATTTATAGATATTTGTTTTATATAAGCAGGAATAGATTTTCTCATGAAATATAATATTTGTTCTTTCTTCTCTTCATATATTTTTGTTTATTTTCCATGCTATATTTTTCAAACGATTTAAAAATGACCACATTTTATTTGCGCTCTATTTTATTGAGTATTGCTTATGTAGCTTGCGATTGTCTAATAAAATTTGCTACATAAATATGTTCGACTTTGTTTTATTGAATACATTCCTTCTTCTAATCTACTGAGATGCATTTCGATGCGTATTCCATGCTGGCTTAACTGCATTAGCCAGTTGACTTTTGTGCTTGGGCCATTTCTTTGCCATATCGGGGGCAATTGGGGCGATCCAGAAATTGGCTAATTCAGTGCCGGCCAGCAGATGACCCACTTGGGGCTATGCTCTTCTGGCGATGACTGTTTTGCATTTAAATCGTTTTAATTGTTGCCGAAAAACAAGCAGCTGTCTGTGTGTTTCGGTGTGTTTCAGTGTGCTTCTGTGTGTGGCTGTGTGTTGCTGTGTGTTTCTGTGTGTTTCTGTGCAGAATGAATGAATGAATGAACTTAGCATTTAGAATGTGGCTCTCGTTTCGCCATTGTTATGGCTTTGGGTCCGAATTTCTGCACAATGGGGCGTATGAGCAACGTGCCGGGGTGATGCTCCTGCAACGCTGCTCATACGCCCCATTGTGCAGACAAATAAAATGTTAACATGGAAAAAATCGTTGTGGCCCGGGCCAAATGAAGAGATTATTGAAATGGCCAAGAGGCAGGACCCTTCCTGACAGTCGCTGAAAATTTAGCTCAAAACAAAGCCCAAGGGTGGCCTAGAAATGCCAAAAGGCCAGGCTATCAAACAGGAAAAAAGCACTGCAAAAAAAATAAAAACGAATCACGGCGTTCAGCGATGGCAAATTAAAATTGTTGAGATGTTGCTTAATTAACAAAAAGGAATAAAAGAATATTTCAACAAATGAGTGCATGACTGTCTCTTGCAAACACAAACAATTATTGCGATGTTGGTTAAGAAGATTTAATCAAAAAGTTTAAAATAATTAAAACCAATGCAGTTCGTCCCACTTTGATAGTAAAAACTCTTACATTTTAATGGCACAAACAATTTTTAGTATGCGAGTATAATTTTGTTTAAGTTAGTTGAATAGTTTAATTGGTGATTTACTTATTTAATTAATATAGTTATTCTTATTTTATTCTTTACTTTCTAGATAATTATAAGTTATAACTATTTCAGGTATGGGCTACAAAAAAGTTGTTCTTTTTCGAAAACTATAAACACAACAAAAGAAGTGCACATATTTTGTGAAAATGTTGCATACAAAATATTTAGTCAAATGAGAAAATAAATCTCTGTTGCAAACTACATAATGGATGTTTTTTTTTTTGGTAAAGAATTTAATTGCGCTAGAGAGCCATAATTCAAGTTAACAAATTGTTTTAATTAAGAGGCAGTTTGTTCTGCTTTGTTGGTAAATACATTTAAAATTTTCAATTACTCTTCAAGTATTATTCCGATAATAATAATGCATTAATACATTGTCATAATAGGTAATAATAGCTAAATCGAGTGTTGCATTGACCATCGCTACCAGTCCAATTGAATATTAGTTGCGCACACTTTTCGCTCAGTGCACTGCGACCTGAGCGAGTGGTCTAATGTCCTTCTGCGGCCCGCTCCTTGTGCTATCTCCATCTCACCGTTATCCTTGTCGTCGTCGTTTGCCTCGTTACTTTTTATGGCCCATGTCAAACATTGCAAATCAGTTTAAACTAACAAGCGCCACTTGGATCTGGATGCCGGGATCTGGTTGTGGGCGTGGCCCTGTTTTGTCTGCATTGCAGCTGACGCCTTTCAAATGCAAAAAGGATTAAAAAGAAGGACCAACACGGCGTATACAAAATTGAGAAAGAAACGGAGAGCGACAACTTTAAATTGTAGACAAATTTCGTAAGTGCCCATTGAGATGGTTCACTTATTTTTTATTCCTCCCTCTTTTGCGGAGGTCAATTTAAGGATCTGAATTATTGAGCGGGAAACTGAAACTCACTCAGACACACACACTAACACACACACACACACACACACTGACGCGCACAGGATGAATACAGGTGCACAGGTTTTCCCCGCTCACACACACAATTAACCAATTAGCACTTTTTCGCTTGTTTCTTGTTTTCTGGCGCCGGCCATTTTATGATTTTTTATTACCGCTTTATTGTTGTTTGTTGTAAACAAAAATTTTTGTTTGCTCATGAAAAAAACAATTTTTAATTGCTGGCGCATAAAACAATGCAAAAAAAAAAGGAAAATAGAAATACAACGATGCAAAAGTAAAAGGAGCGAAATGAAAAATGTGTGAAAACTGTGAAAAACTGTGCAAAGGCAAAACAAAGAGTGGTTGGCCGGTGCAAAGAAGCGCGGGAGCTAATAAAAATAAATATAAAAGCCTAGAAGGAGAGATAAAGAGTGAAGGCAGGAGGCCTATTTGTGGCCCCAATTAGCTTACAGCGAGGGCCTCTCCAGAAGATCAACGATTAGAAGATGATTAGATTTATAATATGTCCTATTTCTCACACAAAATTTAAAATATAAATAAAATATATAAAATATATAGCTTACAGCGAGGGCCTCTCCAAAAGATCAGGGATTAGAAGATGATTAGATTTATAATATGTCCTATTTCTCACACAAAATTTAAAATATAAATGAAATATATAAAATATATAGCTTACAGCGAGG